GGAGCTACAATACTTCAGAGAGCTTTCAAAGTTGTGTCTGGAGAGAGAGTAACAAGAAGGAAGCAGTCGGTGTTGTTAATGTCAGCTGATTATGGGCTGAAATCAGGTAGCACGCATGGAAATAGCAGTAAGCAATGTGACTGGCAATACAGTTGATTAGACCATTCTTACTGGCTTCCCTAATCTCAAACTAGCAGACTCCCTTTTCCAACAATAAAGGTAAAACAACTCCAAACAAGAGAAATTGAATTTTAAAAAGATTAGGACATAATAAGAGTATCATCCACTTTAAATGAGTTTAAGTTTTTAGGACTCAACTGCATAGCTTCACAGGAGTTAAAGGGACTCTCAGCTACTATCTCAGGGTTGTTATCAATACTCTTTGTGAGATCGTGGAGAAGGTGGGAAGTACCAGGAGAATGAAGGGAAACAAAGGCCCCGGTTTCCAAAAAGACATAAAATTGTGAAAACTCAAGTCCACTTCTCTAACTTTGTTTGTTTATTTTTTAATTACAGCTTATATTCAGTATTATTTTGTATTAGTTTCGGGTATGTAGCGTAGTGGTTAGACAGTCATATACGTTACAAAGTGTCCCCCCTGAAATTTCCAGCGCCCACCTGGCACCGCACATAGTTACTGCAGTATCATTGAGTACCTCCCCCAGGCTGCGCTTCGCAGCCGTGTGACTGGTCTGTAACTACCAGTCTGTTCTTCTCAATCCCTTCGCCTTTTTCACCCCGTCCCCATCCCCTCTGGTAGCCTCCAGCCCACGCTCTGTGTCTGTGAATCTGTTTCAGTTTTGTTTATTTCGCTCTTTAGATTCCAAAAATAAGTGAAATCATGCGGTATTTATCTTTCTCTGCTCTTCCCTAACATTAAACTGTGGCAAAATTTGAAGTGATTATCTTTTTAAAACCCAGTGTTGTAGATGTTTAGAAAAGAATGGGGTGATCACCGTGAGTCAATGTGAATTTGTAAGAGTAAGACATGCCAAACAGACCTCGGTTTTTTCCTTTTTTTGGTTTTATAATTACTGGATTAGAGAATAGTAAAGACATGTCATATCTTGACTTTAACAAGTGTTTGGCAAAAAGCTCTGACTGTCTTGAAGGAAAAGAGAATGACGCGTTGGCATGTGGACTGATTTACAGTTGCTCGAATAGCCACACCTATGCCGGCAGGCCACGGGGTCACCGGAATGTTAGCAATCAGTGACTCCGCACATGGACTCCTCAGAGAGAACGGGTGGTGAATGGTAATGAGCGTACACTCAGAGTGTGGATCGGTAGCTATGAGTCTTTTTGACTAAAGATTTATATATGGAAACGTGATCCCTGCCAAACTGTCTTTGTTTCCATTCCTCTGGTTCTGTTTCGCTTGTCTCTCTGTTTTGTTCATTAGGTTGACGGGGACAGGAGGGGAGGGGAGAAGAGGATAAGGGAGGAAAGCAGCAGAAGGACCTAGTTAAGGAACAGGCATAAATGACCCACAGACATGGACACTGGTGTGGGGATTGACTGTGGGAGCCCAGCGGGGTGAGGGGGCAGGTGGGCAGGGCAGGGGAGAGCAGTGGGGGGAACCGGGACAGCCCCCGTGACGGAACAATGACCATGTAAATAAAGGAGGGAGGGAGGGAGGGAGGGAAAGAAAGAAAAGAAAGGAAGGAAGAAAGGAAGAAAAAGAGACAGAGAAAGGAAAGAGAAAGGAAAGAAACTTAGGTGCCTGGATTTATTTATATCATTGAAATTTCAGTTATAGACCTTTCCCCGCCTGAACTGTAGTTATAAAGATATATAGATTTATTTTTAAGTTTCATAAATCAACTAGACTTATAAATCACTTAGAAGTCAAGGAATAATCTCAACACTGAAAGCAAAGGCAGACTGGGTGAGAGCACTGTTCTGAGGAATCTTTTTTTCCTATTATTCTTTAAAACAACATCTGCATTAACCCCAGGTGGGTAGGTAGATGTGTTTCATACCCTTGAAATATCTAGTTTCTGTGAAACTCTCCTGAAACAAAAGGCAGTCGTATGCACAGCCTGGTAACAGAGGTGACTCCTCAGTGACTGGGAGCCAGTGCTCCCGTTGGCCCTCTAGAATTTTAGTCATCTGCCTGTGCATGGTGTTTGTGCCTAAAAACGCCCTAATGTCCTATCAAAGAGGGACCAATAACATTCTGTTCCCTTATGAAAATTCCTCTGGTTTCCTGAGGCAAGGAAGTCCATGATGATTGCTGTAGCTAATACAGTTTATTATTAATTATTAATCTTAAAAAATGCCAGCCCATACACTTTGCCAACCTTTTGTAATTGACTCTTCATTGGTATTTGTAATATTTTGTCTCCAACCTCAGGAAAGCATGATAATGTTTTCCGAATAGTTGCACATTTTAAATAGGACATCACATTGATGAGCTCGTCCCTCCCCCTTTTCTTTGCAACCGCTCGCCCCAGTGTTGCATCCAGAAACCCAGCAGAAGCCGAAGGTGAAGACGAGAGTGCGGGTTTCCAGCCCTGGCATTTCTGTGTTCTCCTGTGAACCCAGCTCTTTCTGCGGTGGCCGGCCTCTCCTGCCTCTCCGGCTGAGCCCCTCGTAGGCCCGCGAAGCAGGATCGGAGTTGTTTTAACTTCAATTCCTCTCAAAAGGCCCCCCTCGTGCTTTGTGATACATGATTTTTATCGTGACTTCGACTTTAATTAAATCCGATTTAATGGCTGTTATTTTTAGAGATTAAAATGCAATCTGGTTTCTTAGCACTTTAGAGTTACCTGTGTGAGACATGTAACATAGTAAAACGTCAAATTAAAAAACATAAAAAGAAAATCTTAAATTAAAAAATGGTGAATCACATTGTCTTCTTTAATTATGCAGGTATTACCTTTTATCCAAATTAAACTGGTTCCTGAAAATATGTTGGATAGCAGATTTTTAGATATGGGAGCCTATATAATACTCTCTTAAATGTGGAAAAAATGGTGTATTTTCTGTCTATTCAAAAACCCTAAGCAACCTTCCACAAATATCACTAAAACATTTTTAAGCATCGATTTAACAATCTGCCATTGTTTTTGTATGACATTTTTTTACACAGCATTTGAAAAACTCCCTTGTCTAATTTTTAAAATATGTAATAAACCCATTATTGGGTATATTTTTGTTCAGTAAGCCATGAGACTATACAGTATAGATTATGAATTAGGGTTTTCTTCTACATGGCAACAAACAAGTACTATAATATAAATAAAAAGTGAAATAATATGATTCCACTCAGATAGGACCGTGGTGGTTGGTGTGGCCCTTCCATGCCTGGCTGAAGCAGCTGGTGGGATTCGGGAAGCTTCTGTGTTCTCCCTGTAAAGATCTTTCTGTTTTTCTTCCTTCCTCATGAAAGTTCCCCAGCTTCCTCAGTGCCTGTTGTTGGCAAAACCAGGACTTTCTGGTTTGTGTGCGTTGGCTTAGGATCCGAATATTATCTCCAACTTTAGAAGGACTCTGATTCCTGCTTATAGTAACACCCTCTCATATGGGTTATGTTTATTTATAAACACATGTGAGAAAAGACCCAAAGAGGGGATTAGAAATGTTATATTATGGAATAATAGTTAAAAGGATGAACTGATTTTGTAGTAACCTTTGGATTCATCTAACCTCGTCATACTATGCTGTTCAAATAAAACAAAGAGTGCATTTTAATCAACTGGTTATTTCTTGTTCAGTAAGAGTATCTATGTTGTCTTAGCATTGCTCTTTTCTGATTATCTGAAGTCTTGTCTACTGAACCATGTTTGGATTGCTTTTGGGATTCATTTTAAGTTCAACCCTTACTACAAATTCACTGCTATCAGATTTCTTCACTCCTCTATTCTTCTCCTCGATATTTCCTGGAGACCTGCCCCCCAATCTTCCTCTTATCTCCCATTTCCCCTCAAAATAAGAAAAGACTCTTTCACTCTTATTTTATTCGCATTGTATCGAGGAGTCAAATAAGTGGAAAGAAAATGCCTATTAATTTAGTGATAGACAGAAGGCACGGCGTTAGGGCCCATTTGGCCTTTTCAGAGACCCGGAAGCTGGTCAGCATGGCTGGAGCGTATTTGAGAGGGGGGAAGAGTGGACGAGTTTGGGTCAGAAGAGGCCAGAGCTGGAAGTTTAGGTTTTATTCCAAGTGCAACAAGAAGCCATTGGGTGGCACTCAACAGAGTAGTGCTTATCTGGTTTATATTCTAAATTTCACTCTGGCTTCTGTAAGAATAGTGGGAACAGGAAGGAAGCAAGGATGGATGCAGGGAGACCAACGAGGAGGCCGTTGGAGAATCCCCGATGAGAAACGTGGGTGGTGGCAATGGAGATGGAGAGAGTGGACAGTGTGGGAAGGGTTTGGAGGGAGAAGTGACTGAAGCTGCTAACGGGTTGCACTTGGAGGACAGAACTCAAGGGGAACTCAAGGATGACTTCCAGCTTTGGGATCTGTCTAGCCGGTTGGTGCTTCTACTGTTGCTATTTTCTAAGACAGGGAAAACCAGGGGAGAGGAAAGCATGGGGAGAGGATGGAATTAAGAAGTGTGGCTGTCTGAAATTTGAGGTGCTTACTTGATATCCAAATATATCTGTCATGTATGTGAACAAGTCTGATGAGTTGGAAGCTTGGTGGAGATAGGTCAAGGATAGAGACATGGTAAGAATTTGGAAGATGTCAGTATATAGATAGTATTTAAAGCATTGGGACCGAATGAAATTACCTTGTGTGCTTGTCATTTTCTCTGATGTACACCATCTCCCTCCCCTACCTTGCAGAATCACACCCCGTTACATGTATGTGTTTTAATTATAGTGTCTAATAATTTGGTGTTAGTTACCTTGTTTTCAGTAAAATATTCTGATTTCTTTTTATTGCTTATTTTCTTTTTATTGTTTAAGGGCATTTGATCACTAGCATCTATATTTAACTGGAGATCTAACAGTTAATGTGTTTTGTCTTATGTTGTTTTCTTTCGTAGGCAAAGTCATTAATAAAGATTTGCGACATTACCTGAGCCTCCAGTTTCAGAAAGGATCAATTGACCACAAACTGCAACAAGTGATCAGAGATAATCTCTACTTGAGAACCATTCCATGTAAGTAGGAGATGGGCTAAAAGAAATGAGGCCAACATATCCTTATGTAACCAATCAAACATCTAGAAATAATTCAGTGGAGTATCTCATATGAAATTGTGGAGACTAAGTTGGAGCACCAGAAGGCAACAAAAGGAGGATAAGGAGAAAATTTTCAGAAGACTTTCAGGGGGATTGTTTTTCAAAGTAAAACAACCAGAAGATTCTATATTACGGCTTTTTAAAAAGTCACTAGACTTTAAGAATGTAAGGCTATCTACGTGTATGTTGCTAATAGATTTTATTGTTATAAATCAACTTCTACAGCCTCTGCAGTAAAAAGCCTTGCTCTCAATGCCTTGTGCACTGAGACAGTTTTGGATTAATTATTAGGAGATTACTAATTTTAAAGTCTGCCCTTTCCCCAGAGGAAGAAAGGAAGAAAAATGCAGTGCCTTCGTTTTGATGATCCATTTTGAAATTTTACGTTGATGTTGGTATTTCTGTTCCTGTCTTAATGGTTTTCATAGGACCTCGTTGGTATTGTAATGGTGTTTTGTTTTATTAAAAGAAAAAACACAGAGCAAGAAATCATGCATGCTTAAGTGTTAGCTTTAGTTAGTGCAGGTCTGGGGAAGAATGAAAAGCAGTAAACAATGAGGGCATAAGAGGACATTCTGGTTTGTTTTCCTTTTCAGTGTATTTAACTCCTTGCGGATACCAGCTCGTAGAGTGGCTCTGAAGCTCTTGATTTCTTTTTCTTGTTATTTCATTTTACACAATGTCCACTCCATTACCAAGCTTTTCTAATTATGCTTCTTAAATTGCTAACCCTCTACACTGGCAAAGCCCCTCCCCGTTTCTTGCTTAGACTTAAAAAAAGGAAATAGCATTATGTAGTGGCAAGGAGCTAGATAAAACTGAGCTCAGAATCCTGATTCTATCATCTTCCTAGGTGCCTCACTTGGGCGAGTTCCTTAATCTTCCTGAGCCTCAGAATCTCCGTGTCTAAAATGAGATCATCAAGACTCACCTCATACAGTTGTTACTAGAATTAAAGTAAGAAGATGAATGTAAGCCAGTTGGCCTAGAGTAGTGACTCAAGTAGTGTCTGTCCCCTTCCCCTCTTCTAATGGCGTCCCCTGCCTCCCATGTCACCTTGGTCTAGTCTGTCTAGAGTCTTCAATATGGTGTGAAATAGTTTGTGTGTTGTTTTTAAACCTGACTTCTTATCTACGATTGCCTCCTATAAGTCGACCTTGTCAGGTTTCCACAGGGGAATGCCTGTGCCCTTTTCTGTGCATTTGCCTGATAAACTTTGCCCATCTTTTTATTCTTTAACTTTCTGCATCTCTTTGTTTTGGGAATAGTGTTGGACTTAGTCACCAATGTGGCACTTTCTCTCTATTTCTTGGTAGATCAATATCCTTAGTCTGTTTTGTCATGTCTTTTCATTTTACCCAGGGGTCAAAGAGGGAACAATGCCGCTTGCTCAGCCCTTGCCCTGTGTCCAGTCACTTCCCCCACTTCCGGTGTGCCGCAGGCGCCCCTCTAGCTACTGCCCTGGTGGTGGTTCCCGGAGTGGGTGGGTTTGCTTTAGTTCTGGGACCATGGGGGCCCTTTAAACAGACTCTCTTGAGAGACTGGCAGTTTCTTCTACCGCCCCAGCCCCCACTGGTTTTTACAGCCAGAAATTGTGAGCCTCCAATATCCCAGGGCTGGAACCCTGGGCTGCGGGTCTGGCCCGGGGCTGGGATTGCTTGCTCCCCAGGTGTCCCTGCTGGTTTTTATCCACCTCACACGTATGTGGGACTACCCGTTCTGCTGGCTGCCGCTGCTGCCTTGCTGCCTCACCGCCTGGCCGCTGCCACACTGTGTACTCTCCACCCCAGCTGCCTGTCTCTGCCCCTCCTACCTGTCTGGGTGAATATTTTTTCTTTAAATCCTTAGTTGTCAGATTTCTATGCAGTTTTATTTTCTGGTAGTTCTGCCTGGTTTTTGTTTTGAGGTTAATTTTGCTCCTTCTTTTGGTCGTTTGAGGAGGTGAAGCGTGTCTACCTACGCCTCCATCTTGGCCGGAAGTCTCATTGTACTTTCATACACTGTCCTCATTCTCACCGTCTTTTTGATACTTGAACCATGTCTATACTGGCAAAGCAAACAGCCATTGAATACTACACTGCCCCCGTGTAGTCATCCTTCTTGATTCCATGGGTAATTTAATCTAACTGCCAACCTGATATTGTTGTTTCCTCGGTGATGGTGGTTGTCTAATGCTTGTTCTCCACTAGGCTTTCTAGGAAGGGCTCACAGGATCACCACAAGAGTTTGCCTGTGGTTTTCATACTTTAAAGTTTAGACGGCTATGAAATCTTGGGCTCACATTTTCTTTTCTTGCCTATCTTAATTCTATTAATCAATTATCTAATTGTCTTCTGCGGTAAAGCATTGCTCTTAAAAAGTCTGAAATAATCTGATTTTCATTCCCTTACAAGGAACTTGGTGTTTTGCCTACGTGATGCGTCTCAGGGTGGCATTTCTAGTTTCTTAGCTCTAGAGCTCTCTCCTTCCTTGTTAAAACAGTTAATAAAAATGTGTGTGTGCTTTCTGCTGCCCTCTGCCACTTTTCCTGGGATCTTGTTTTAATTTATTTCTACTGGCCTAGTTTTGCAGTTTCTCTGCAGTGTGAGGTTTTGCCTGGAAAGGAGTTACAACTTCTTTGGTTTTAATCCATACGGTCTAAACAGCTGCAGCCGTTAAGATCCTAACAGGATCTCTTCACTTACTAATTGAAGTGTCCGCAACCCCATCTGGTCTCGGAGTATTATTCTTTACTGGAAGATACCAGATCTTCTTGGAGAAAATTCTCATTTCAGTCCGGGGGCAAGGGAAATATTGTACAAGCTGGGTTTGGAACATCTAATTGTACCAGAAAGTATGTAAATGCTTAAAAAATTATGGCGACATATCGGAAGGATTTAAAACAAGCCACCTAGAGGTTTTCCACTGACAAAAATCTGAGGCAATTAGAGCAACAAAATTAATGAAAAAGAGAAAGAACACTACAGTTGTCAGATGTTACGCCATAGACGGAACGTGACTACGGTCCCTAAGAGAAGAGGAAACCACACACACCTTTCTGCCTGGATGCACTGTCTGGGCCACGGCCTGGGGAGGCAGAGTCCGGGCAGAGCACAGCGGACTCTTGAGTTGAGGGGGCAGAAGCCTGAGGTCAAGATGTCTGAGGTGTCAGGGATTGACAGGACAGGGTGACCTAGAAGAGAGAGCTCAAGCCATCTGCATAAGTGCTCCCAGTGCCCCTTGAGTCAGTAGCTGAATGCAAAGCTGAGGCTGTCGCGTGGGGACTCCACGTGGCCAGGCAGAGAACGCTGGGAGCTTAGCAGTCGCTGGAGCTTGTGCAGGGCCGGGAGACACCGGAGGTCTGACCGGCCTGAGTGGGGGACCTCGCGAGGCTCACACCTCACCTAGTGGGGCTAAAATCACCTAGACCGAGCTCCTTCGGACATGTTTCCGCAAAGCTTAATGAAGCAAGCCCCAGAGGATCAAGCGAATATGCATGTAACTTGACTGCAAAAAGAAACAAAGGAAGTTTTCAGTGTCTTTTTCTGTTTTTGTTTTTTGCTTCTGCCTGCGGAAAGACACTTGGTTCTGCAGTGCACCAGAGGCTGGCTTTGCGGTGTCCCTGTGGGGGGCTTCCCAGCAGCGAATTCAGCAACACCTTCCTAGGTGGCTCCGAGTTTAACAGTATCCGTTCCTCACAGCTTCCTGACGTGCTCCGTGGGCACCCCAGCAGGCTTGCCACATTTCAGCATCTCCCCTGCCAGTGGGTTTCCAGTGGGTTTCTGGCAAGTGCACCCGGGTCCCCATTGGTTTTCTAGTAAGTTAAGAACACCTCCCAGCCCGCCCTTCCCTGCACCACCACCGCCACAGGGAGCTGGCTGGTGGATTTCATCGGCACTCTCCCTGCCTGCCAGCCTCCTCCCGCGGCCTGGGGACCACCTCTGTACCCAGGCCACCACCACACCTTCTCTAGCGAGGTCTGACCCTGGACGCGGAGTGTCTCTTCCATTTCCTCCTAGTAAATTCCTTGGAAATAGCTGATAATTCTTTATATTGAGCTGTCCTTGGTCAAGCTGCCATGTGGTTTCTCTCTCCTGCTTGGACTCTGGCCGATGCAGAATTGGTGCTGGCGGTGGTCCCAGGACACAGACCCTGCAAGACGAAGTTTTAGAATTGGTTTTGGTTGTGTTCTTGGGCTTAGGACAATGCCAGGTTCCTTCCAGTGGGAAGTAGGGTGTTTGTAATTCATGACAAGAAGTGGCATCATCGCAGTTTAATGGCAGTGTAATTTGTGCTTGATTGTGATTAAAGTGCCAGCTGAACCAAGTACCTTGGGACCCAAAACGACTGGGGCACGTGACCGTTGTGGCAATAATGGGGTGGGGAGGCTTCTCTCCATGAAATCAGCTAGTTCGTTATCATTGTGAACTCATAGCAAGCTTATAATAACACTTTTAAATCACCTGATACTGACATTTGTGAATAGATAGCCTTAAAAAAGAGAAAATTAACACAGAATAAAAATAATTTTAAAATTTGAAAGATACTGTCACACATATTTACTCTACATTTTTCACTCCTAAAATGAAATTTTAAAGCATGCAAGATATCAGTCACATTATTCAATGATCTCATCTTTGTTGGGTAACAAATACTCCAGACTTAGAAAAAATTTCTTTCATTTGCATTGATATCCATCAAATTGAAAATGCGTATTCATGAGCACCTTTAAATTAGGCATCAGTCACTGGTCATATATATTTTTTAATAATGAAAATATTTTGTCTCCTTGCCCTGATTCTACTTTTTCCATTGAAATCCATGTTGCTTTTACTTCCGATCTTAGACCAGTTTCTGAATTCAGGTTGGAATCTTCCACATCAACTTTCACGCCTTCTCTTTTCGTTTCTTCTGTTAAAACATTTGCAGAGCACCGAGAC